CCGTTATCAATCATAAAGGGGATTTCCTTGCCCTCAATGGTCAAGCATACTATTGGCTCATCCTCAGGGTCCTTAGTCAATACGGGGAAATTTGGAAGGGAGGATAGTCAGACTGAGAAAGGGTTGCTGGTAGAGAAAGGTTGTCTCCTGCCCTGGGGTCTATTTTGTTGCTGTATCTGCGGACAGTCTCGCTGCCAATGATCCCTGCCCCCACATTTAAAACAGCTCTGTGTTGGCTTTGGTGTTGGCAACCGGGACAGACCACTACGGGGAGGGTAGTTGTTATGGAAACGGAAAGGGAGGGAAGGGGCGTAGGGTGGCCCATAAAGAGGTGCACTGGGACCATTTGGGTGAGTGGTATACCCATGGCCATATCTATCGAGCCATCCCGGGACGCAATACTGGGGTTCCATTTGATGGCCTCTGAGGGCGTCAGGGTCTATAACAGGAGTATCTGAGCCCCTGTGATGGGAATGACGAGGAGGGCGCTGTACCATTTCATATTTGACCTTAGTCGGTTTAGATTCTTTATTGCTATTCCAGTAATAAGTAAGCGCCCTTCTCATTTGCGGGCGGGTGTTATCCGGCCAATCCATATTGTTAGTCCTAATAGCGGTGGCAACCGTTTCTTGAATACATTGTAACAGTAGGGCATTAAATTGAAGTGAAGGGTTCCCCGCATAATAAGCGGTGTCACCTGCATAGGTGGCGTATGTGGAGCAGAACCGATCCCAGAAATCTGAACCCTCCTCTCCCTGCCTTGGGCAGCATACTTTAGTTATGTCCACCGGTTGTTGCAGGGTCTTTTGAAGAGCCCCCCTGATTGCTTGGATTTGGGCCCCTGGCTGGGGAATTGCCTCAGCAAAGGCCGCCCAATCATCATGTCCCAAATGGACCTTCCATCTAGATCCCTCACTGGGGGTCAATGCCATACAGCACAGACTGAAAAGATCCTGAGGCGTGGCCTGATACATTTGGATCGCCCCTATAATGTAATCAATAAAATCCTCTGGGCTTGTTTTTCGGTTTGGGGCTTGAGACATGATTAAGCATGTCTCTTGGGGTTTCCAAGGTGTGTAAACCTGCATAGTGGCCTGGCCTCCCTGTCCAGGGTTTGGGTTAGGGACCGTCCGTGTAGGGAACTGTCTTTGTCTGCGTTCATGGGAACCCTTTCCCATTCGTCTTTGGTAAGAATTACTGGAATCGACCAGTCCCTCTATAACCTCACCGGATCATTGTTTGTCTTCAGGATCGTAATGTTGAGGCTAGTCATGTTCACTATTACTGTTTGTGTCAGTATTATAGGATAAATTGTTCTGTCCCCTATGTGTCTCGAAAGGGTTAGTCTCTTGCCTTTTCTGGGTTCTTGATTGGGTTCTGAAAGCGACCGCATCGGTGAAACCTTACGAAGTCTGGTTCTGGTCAGCAGGGTGGGTAACATTTCCGGGGGGACCTAGCTGGGTACGTGGAGTGGAACCTGGATCAGGTTGTAGATGGGCGGACGGTGATAGAGAATAGGGTAGGGGTAGTGGTTGCTGGTCCTTGGACTGAGGCTGAGGTGGTGGTGATGGAGCGCTGGCAGAGGGATTAGGGTATATGGGCTGATGTGGTTGGGCGGGTAGGGCACTAGGCGGAATTTGCCAATCCTCCTCCTGGTCATCGGTGTCATTATTTTGGAACAGTATTGGCAGACCAGACATGTCAGGAGGTACCTCCATTTTATTCCCACATGATAAACCGTCTTGACACTTCAACCCTGATTCCTTATTTTGCCTCTCCTTTCTCAATCTTTCCTATTCTGTTTTACTCATATCATAATCCTCACACTGCCACTTCAACATCTCCCACGACTTAGGGTTTCCCTCATGATCACATACTCTAATCCCTCTCCGACGTGCATTATTCTCCCAGCTGGCCTGTTTAGATTTATTCATTATTTCCTCAGCAGTCTTTCTCCACGTGGATATTAAAGTTTTCCATTTTGTCCCCGTATTACATTTCCAAATTGCCTTCCGCTTTTATGCATTTATCTACGCCCCAATGTTCCCCCTATTGGCCAAATTTCATTTCCCAATTTCTTATTTAGGCATGCCAACAGACGTCTGAACCGTTCTTCATTTTCGGGTCATTCCGACATAACCCTTGCAAAGGGGTTCCGACACCCGACTTATCCAACGTCTGTCCCATTTTAACGCTTCTACTTCTTACTTATTTCTATATACTAGTTCAGTGTCCTTGGTCTCCACACCCACTTCAGGGTCCTGACGTTCGCGTGGGGGATTTCCCCTCTTAACAACCGGTCTAAGGCAGGGTGGTTGATACAGACACTGTAGTTATCCTTTACCTTAGGTACTACGTTCCAGGGACTCGAACCCTGGTATTGGAGGACTCTAACCTCCAAATTCCCGACACTTACAGTTGGGAGGACTTTAACCCCCGAATTCCCGATACTTACAGTTGGGAGGACTCTAATCCCCGAATTCCCGGTACTTACAGTTAGGAGGACTCTAACCCCCGAATTCCCGGTACTTACAGTTAGGAGGACTCTAATCCCCGAATTCCCGGTACTTACAGTTAGGAGGACTCTAACCCCCGAATTCCCGGTACTTACAGTTAGGAGAACTCTAACCCCCGAATTCCCGGTACTTACAGTTAGGAGGACTCTAACCTCCCTGAGACGAACTCGTCAGCGTACAAGTGCGTAGGTTATCTCGGAGATTCCATCACTATAGAGTTCTAGGAGACGAGGGGTTGACTGAATGATAGGTTAATGAGAGAGATCAAGGTAAATCTTACCTGTGGGCCCATCCGTCTCATGTCACCGTCACACAGGCGATCACTTATTCAGTCCATCTAGAAGTTCTGTATATGTTGGAATCCCACCGCTGCCACCAAATGTTGAGTTCCCTTTTAGGAGATTCCTTCGCACTTGATACAAACGCAATACGCCAACTTCTGTGAATAGCCACAGGTTATTTAAGCAAGTACAAGCTTTGGAGGATCACTTAACAAACTTTGCAGGGCTTGCGGAGCCGTGTCAAGCAATGCTGTCTAATACGGGAACCGTCCTCCCTTTATATAGGATTTTACATCACAGTCAGTCATGTATGCAAGGTACAATTTTTTACTCCCCCATAGTCACATGCCTAGCAACAGCGATAGTACGTAACTTAATCACCTAACAGTAGAACAAAAGTCAGCCGCCCAAAAACAATGTGTAAGACTAGATAGTTCCTTATCCTTTTAGCCTTAATTCAACATTTACAGAGAGCAGAGTATAATTAGATTACCGCATGTTGTCTGCGAGACAGGGGCGCCCACGAAGCACCTAATTTCTTACATGTCAGCAGAACAGATATTAACCCTTTAACATTTCAGTGGCCTCTAAGTAAATTGGCCCATCGTAAGCTTTTTATTCCCAAACCTCTTTGGTTGTATACCCCTATTCAGATTTACCTACTTGTTGAATGACCCAAAATGCAGCATTTTTTTAAACTACCTTTCAAATGACCAACATTATAAGTTGTAACTACACAATATGTCAATAATAATTCCTTAGGTGCCATTAAAGTGATGGGTGAGCTAGGCATAAGCATTTGAGTGAGAGAGACTAAACCTAAAAACGTAGCTTAAGAATAAGAGGCCTCTCTATTAATATTGATGAGAATTCTTTTCTCTCAAAGGGTCTTTTGAATGTGGCATTCCATATGCTAAATGTAGAAGACTTGGTTTTCAAATTAATTCAATGATGATTGAGCTGGAGTTTCGATAGGCAAGGGAGTCAGCAGTTATTTGGTACAGATAGAAAAAAAAGCTGAAATCATAACCAGGTCAATCAAGATCTTGTGGAATGGTAAGCAGGTTTAAATGGCCAATTGGCCTATTTGTGCTTGTATAGTTCTTTGAGGGAGAAATATATTAATAATCAAACAAAACAAAGAATCACAATCAGCAGCCCCCTATTTCGATCCCATTTTTGCCATGGTCACACAGCAACCTGTCTTCTCAACCCCACCAACTTGTTGAAAAAGAGTTCTGAAGAAGCGCCACTATACCCAGAATGTTAACCCTGCTTTCTGTCCACAGATTCTTCCAGATCTGCTAAGTTTTTTCCAGCAATTTCTGTTCTTGTTTCCCGCCAACTCAGTTACTGGCTCAGAAGCACCTCCGCTTAAACGCATCCTCCATGGAATCACCAAGTCAACAGCCCTTCTTCTTCCAGACTCCCTTATCCCCAACACACCCATTTATCCTTCATAAATCAATTCCACCAAGAGTGATGATGTTGACCGAGCAGGCCGTGTCCCCGAGCAGTCCGCTGGACTGGACAGCAACCATACTTTAATCACTGCCAGCTCCAGTAGAAATTTGGTGTTGCAAGTTACAAATCTGCCAGCATTGACAACGGTAACAAATAATGGGTTGGATTTTTATATTGCAAGAAATAAACACCACACATGTAGCAATGCCAGTAACATCAATTGCCATGTCTACCTTTGTTTCAAATTCTACAGGGAAAACATCCATGTTTGGTAGATGATCCTCCATTTGTCTTATAATAAGTATGCCTCAGTCTTTTATTTCTTTCCAGCTTTCTTTAAATTTCACTCAAGCCACATCTCAGTCTGATTTTTCTTTCCTTTCCGTTTCTTGTTCTCAATTCTTCATCCAGTTGTTTAAAACGAGGCCTGAGTTTCCAATGTCCATCTGTGGCTGTCTTTCTCTAACTGTGTTTAACAGCCCCAAGCAAATCTGTTTTCCTTCGGTTTTCGCATTAAATTGATGTGTTTGCTTTGCTGCATGCATGTGCAAAAAAAACTGTTGTCATTATGTTTAACTATGAACACAGTTAAGAATAGGAAATCAATTTCAAATTGTTGAGAAATATTAGTAGTAAAGCTTGGACATGTGTTTATCCTCGACCACTATGTGCAGCGGAAATGCTGTCTCTTATAAATACTGCTATTTTTAAAAACTAATTGTATATTTTCTCTCTACAGATTTCCATGCCAATAAACTAGATACTTTTGATCCACTGTGGATCTCTGTATCTCCATGTGAGATTGAATCAGAGAATCCTCTTTTAAGGAGATTTGCCCATTGTTCGTCACTTATTGCCCCAAATATAGTCCTTATCAGTGGAGGATTTGGCAGCAGAGTTGGCCAACATGGACGCCTCAGGGGTGCAACACTAATGATTAAAAGTGGACCAGTTTGGAAATGTAGCTTTGTTAACAATGAGGGATCAATCCATCTATTGAGTAAGTTTAAAAATAGCTCTAGTAATATTCAGTACCTTGAAAACAAATTTTGAATTTCTGCTTTGGATGCTGTGGCACGTTTGGGATTATCACAATAAAAGATTAAGCTGCTTGAAGCAATAATAACTTTCCTTTTACCCTGCTTTCAATCTGCTAAATGTTGCAATAGCGTTGCTGTTCTATATTTTGGCTATCTGTTCCTTTTTTCTTCTGAAAGTGGTAGGTAATGTTGGGGTACAGCTTCACAGATGCTGACAAACTATTGTGCTTTGTCTTAGTGCATATCCTTCGCTTGTGAATTTAGACAATGTGTGTCAACAGCTATTAAATTAAGCGATGCATTTACAACTTGACTCAATCATATTTTAGGTGGATGCCTGCATGCATGTCCACCCAGCTGGTAATATTGGACAGTGATCAGGAGAACATGTTATTTTATATGCATTCTATTTTTAGGATCCCAAGAACCAATTCAGTACTACTATGAATGTTAATTTAGAACAATCAATATATTTCATAATTATAATATGAATTTGGAAGACACCAGTCTGTCAAACCTTCAGCATGAGACAGAGAGTGAAAGCAGCTTGTCTATCCCATCTTTTCAGTCATAGATATTGTATAGGCTAGATAGGGTAGATGCAGAAAAGATATTTCCCCTTGGAATATAAGCATAACATCTAAAACCAGAGACTCATATTTAGAATAAGAGGCAAGCTATTTAGTGACTGAAACACAAAGGTTATGCTTCACCCAGAGGGTGGTGAGCCTTTGCAGTTCTCTACCCCAGAGGGCTATCACCATCATTTGAGTATGTTCAAGACAGATGGATAGATTTCCAGATAGTAATGACATCAAGGGACATGGAGATAATTTTCCCATTCTGTGTTGAGGCAGACGATTGGCCATGATTTAGAAAAGCAGAACAGGCTTCTGCGTGTCTGAAAGGCCTGCACTTGCTCCTGTGCTTCTGTGCTGCCTATGTGACAGGGTATGGGATGATGAGGTTTGGGGAGGGGATGTGGATCCAGAGGAAATGTACCTTTTCTTGGGGCACATGTTGGTTTTGTTTTTAAATAATTACTACCTTTATGCTAAATGTTCTGATATCCTTATGTGTGTCTAAATGTTTACTTTTGAATATATTATTTGACCACGCTATAGTTTGGTATGTTTATCCAATTAATAAATGAGCAAGATGAAGCAGTTCGGTCCTGGTTTCAGTGCCCAGTCTATGCCCAGTTACTTGTTCAGTGAAATAGTTGGCATCAGATGTCAATCCTGATAGGTATCCATTGTTCCTTGCTAGAATTGTGTGTGTGGATGTTAATTGAGAACTTGATTGGGATTAACTGTGATGTTCCTTGCTGTTGAGAGATTGACAATAATGTCAAAACCTAAACCATTTAAGCAATAAACCGTGTCAACTAAGCAGTCAATTAAATTAGAATGGAATAGCAGACAAAGTAAAAGAAAGAATCCTTATTCCTGTGCATCAAATCTGTTTTATCACAAATATCTTATTGAAACAGCATGTCGGGGCAGAGTCCTTGTGTATGTTTAAGGCTGAGATAGCTAGATCCTTGGTCAGTAGTGGAACCAAGGGTTATGGGGAAAGGGCAGGAAAACAGACGTGAAGAGTTTCAGGTCAGTCATTGTCCTATTGAATGGCGGAACAGGCTCGAGGGGCAAATGGCCTTCTCCTGCTCCTACTTCTTATGGTCTTAACCAGAGGAGAACAGCTTTTAGTAATATTTTAATTAAAAGCAAACAACTTTGGATGCTGGAGTTTGGCATCTCTCCACAGATGCTGCCAGACCTGGTGAGTTTCTCCAGCACTTTGTTTTTATTTCAGTAATATTTTGTCATCCTGCATTTTACAAACTGCTGACAAAAATCAGAAGAGATGGGAATAAAATAACAGAAACACGTTTAGTTCTTGTATGTGAATTGATTGCCTTGCACTGAAATCTATTTAAGACTTTGAGTTCTCAAAATACCTCTTTGGGAATGTTAACTGTGTGTTCATCAGATCTGTAATCTATTGTACTCGGTTAATTAAACATTAAATTTTTTGTTCATGTTTTAGCTGAACGAATGTTTCACAGCATGACGTCTTTTTGTGACAGTTGCTGTGTAATCTTTGGTGGCCGCACGTCTCCACTAAAGCCAGTCACCAGTCTCCTTTTGTTGAAATGTGAAGTTGGCGATGGTACCATCTCCAGCATCAGCTTGTCAGTAAAAGAGATAGAATGCATTGGCACTGCACCATCACCACGCTGGCGACACACAGCAACAGAAGTGATTTATAAAGGTAAAAAAAAAAAGACCAGAACAAAATTTTGTACAAACGTTTCCATTTGAGGTTGGTTGGCTCGCCGAGCTGGTTTGTTGTTCCGCAGATGTTTCGTTACTGTGCTTGGTAACATCCTCAGTGCTCAGCACCTCAACACCCACAACCCGAGCTACAAATCTACTCCAAAACCTTAGAAACGTTTCTATTAATTGCAAAGCAATGTGAAATTATAATAAAAGGATTAATCAAAATAATTTCCTGCTTTTTACTTCCAATTTCTAGCATTATAAGTGCAAACGAGCAAACTGAGAAACAAAAATGGAAAGGAAATGCCAGTTTTGACTGTAGAAATTTAATTGCAACTTCGTTTTGGTTATTTGATATCTACATGGACAGAATCATGACATTATATAAAATTTATCTATGTGTCAGATTGTGTGGAGGAGATGTAAATTTAATGGGAGTTACACAGCTACAAAACTAATGTTAATCAATTCTGAGAAACATTTCTATTCTCCTGTGGAGAAACATTGGAGTGGTATGTGGCTCAGTGGTTAGCACTGCTGCCCCCCAGCACTGGGGAGCTGGGTTCGATTCCAGCCTTGGGTGACAGTCTATGTGGAGTTTGTACATCCTTCCTGTGTCTGTGTGGGTTTCCTCCCACAGTCTGAAAATGTGCATTTTAGGTGCATTGAACGTGGTAAACTGCCCATAGTATCCAAGGATGTGTAGGCTAGGTGGATTAGCCGCAGGTAATGCAGGGTTACAGGTGTAGGGTAGGGCGGTGGGTCTGGCTGGGATGTTGTTCGGAGGGTTGGGGTGCACTTGATGGCCCGATTGGCCTACTTCCACATTGTAGGGATTCTATGATTTCAGCATCAAATTAAAATCAGATTTGTTTTTCTGTTTTCCAACGAAATGCAATGAATTGAAGTGCGATTTGTATTTCGTTGCCATTTCACTTTTGTTAAACCATATCTGCCAGAGCACTAACAGTGCAATTGATTGATCTGTTAATGGCTGTGGTTCCTTTCCATAAACTATGTTAATCCTCTTCAATCTATCCAAAATATGGACCAAAATGTTAATTTTTTCAGAACTTGCCATAAATTCACCTCCTGTCGTATATACTGTGTCAGTGGATTTTGGGCTCACTCTCCTGAAGGTTTACTAGTTTGCTACTGGTGTTACCAAATGGCCTGTAAATTCTGCTTTTACTTTTAATTTGTGGCAGCATTTTGAAAATAATGTAACAGTAAAGCAGGTGCGGACGTAGGCACTTCGCTGTCATGCTGTCCTTGGCCTACTGGACTTTCCAGAGAGGCTCAACATAAGCTTCAAGAACAGCACCTCCTTTTCAACTAGATACTCTACAGCCTTCCAACTCTGCATTGAGTTCAGTAGTTTCATATGGTAAACTCTTCCCCTTTTGTTTCCTTGTCTTTGCTTGTTTCACTATTTTTCAGTTAGCACACCTGGATTCAGCACATCATTTGTTTCATTCTTGCACCATCTCCATTCTGTTTGGCCCTGGACAGCTAACTTTTCTGTCATTCCATCCCTTTGGTCTTCCACCCTATCACATACCTTCCCCTTGTCCTTGTTCCACACACTGTTGTTCAGACCCTGTTATATCCCTAACTTTTCTCAGTTCTGATGCAAGATCACAGACCTGAAACATAACTTCATTTCTCTCTCTACACAGATGCTGCCTAACCTGCTGAGGTTTTGTTTTTCATTCTTTGTTGTTGTTTCAAATTTCCAGCATTCACATTGTTCTGTTGTTAGATATGTACATTATTTAGAACCACTATGTTTTATAACTAACTGGAGATCATTACTTTCTCTTATGAAAGGTCAGAGATATCTGTTCATTTATGGTGGTCGCTCTCCCAAAGAAATGGTGCTAAATGATTGGCATTTCCTGAACCTGGAAGACTATAGCTGGGCAGATGTAAGTGAAATTATAGCTGTTGAAAACTTTCTTAGTATGGTGCACCTTGTTTGCCTGTTTTGTTATACCTGCTTTCAGGAGAGAGTTCCCGTCTTTCAAACATTTTTTCATGTTCCCTTAAATGATCGTGTTTTGTGTATCAAACACTAGCTGTGATTAAGCTTTCCCTGCTTCTAATAACCCTCTGTGTCAAGACATTTCAGCTAACTTCTCATTCTGATTTTGAGAATTATTAAGTTGATGATACTCTTTACTGACTTGGTAATTAGGGAAATACTATTTTTCCTGTTGTTTCTGTCAATGTTTTTCATAGTATTAAGAGGATTTACTGAGGTTCCCCTCCACCTTCTATGCTCCAATGGAAATAATCCCAGTATCTCCAATCTCTCCTGACCGTCATTTCCCATGCTTGTCCTCATTATAGTAATTCTTAATTTTTGTTCTCAATGTCACCAAGAATATAAGCAGGCAAAGAAATAATGACAATATCAAGGATGAGGAGACAATTAAAATTAGGTTTATTGTCACGTGCATTCAAGTACAAAAGTACAGGAGTAAGTTGGAAAGTTTACGATGTCGCCCTGCACGTGCCATCTTAGGTACATTGTACGAAGGTACAAATCTTAGATACAATATAGAGAAATACAGAAAAAAAATTACAATACCTTACAGTTATTCATAGTATAAGTCAGAAAAATAAAATGCTTCAAATAAGTGAATGCTTCAGTGTTCTTTGTGAAAATGTTAGCAGTCTTAAGATTAAATTGGGAAATTTTTAAGATCTTTGCGGAACAGGCAAACCAAATTAATGAGAATCAAAGGTTCAATATTCAACAGAGATGCATGTTACTTTGCTGATATAGGAAAAAATGCAATGGAATATGAAACCCTACACATGAAGGAGAAATTGATTATAGTTGAGTTAGGTATATCTATTCCAAGGATGGAGAAGATGGAAACCGTGTGCATATGGTTGAGGGGCAAGAAATTAGCCATGATACAAGACACAAGAATGCATTGTTACATGATCCATTAGCATTGAGGAATTTATGTGAGCGAAGCTGCTATTGGACCTGATATTAACTAATAGTGAGTAGATATTAGAGCAAGTCAGATTCAGAAAATATTTAGGATTGGGTGATATAATATAGTGAAATATCATTAAATGAATGTGTAAGGACAACCCAGCCACAACAGGCCAGTAGGGTAAGTATCTATTGGGGGTAAAATATAAGACATTTTGAAAGAGGAGATAATAAAGCATCGATGGTATGCTAAATGTTCCACAAACAGCCATTTAAAACATTAAAATTAACTGAGAAAAGTTGCTGTTCAAAATCCTAAAATTATGTCTTTCTGCCCTGATCTTAATTAAATGATGTTCTTCCCTTTGCAGATTCCAGTTACTGGGCCTACTCCAGAAAGTCGCCATTCCCACAGTGCCTGTTCATGGAAAGCTGGTGTACTGATTGCTGGAGGATTAGGGGCAACACAGATCCCTTTAGCATCTGTCTTCCATCTTAGACCAACCCAGTCTGGATTTTTTTGGAATAGGATAGAAGTAACAGATTCTTTCATTCCACGGTACACATCAAAACTGATATGTAATTTTCTGTGTCTTTTTTTTCTGTACCCAGTACAATCCTGCATTGATGCAACCAAACATGATGAATATTATTCTTTGGGTCACTTAAAATGATACACTTAAGTGATCCAGGAAGGTACTATGGCTCGCCTGCTCACTGCCAACCACCTTAGTTGTCCCAAAATTTTAAAATTTTGACAGACAATTTAGTCAAGAATACCGTAAAATTTTAGTGCTGATTATACTTTATTCATTAGCTGTGTAGATCCTGGAGAAATTTCAGGTTTATTTGGTTGTATGCATTAAAATGATGATTAATATTTTACTTTTATTCTGTTTTTTACTTAAGCACAATTTATTATCCTCAAAATTGTAGAATAGATACAAGCTTGTTAAATAACAATATGGTTAAATACAGAGTGAACAGTCTCTACTGCAAAGTTGTAAAAGTTTTTACACTTTAAAAAGCATTCATCATTAATCACAGCTATATTCTGTACAAAAAAAAGGTTGTGCAGTAACCCTTCCCATTAAATGCTGTATTGTAGCCAGGGAAAACTTTTAAAAATTGTATGAGTGCACAAAGGCCTGATTTTAATTCAAAGGTTTTGATGGATAGGTGGGTGAGAGGTAGATTGGGCTATTTTCATTTCCAGGCTTCATTAATACACCATTAATGCACTCTCTGTACAGAATTTAAGAAATTAGTCAAGAGAAGCAGCTGTATTCTGGATATAAAGAAGGACTGTGCCAGTTTTGGAAGGAACTTGTCCATATTTGATCATTTGCGATTACTTTACAGATACTCTCACACAGCCCATATTCTTGATGATAAACTTTTTTTACTGGGAGGAGTGACAATCTACTCTGATTCAATCCCTGAAGTAACTCTTATTGACCTAAAGACAGGACAAAGTCTTGATTACCACATTAACACAGTAAGTAATAACTTTCAAGAATATATCAGAAAACAAAATACATTTGGTTTACAAGTTTACTTTTTCAGCCCTTTTGCACATTTTGGTAGCAATGATTGGCATGGATTGTAAGCAAATTTCACTTGACAGCTGACTAGTTGTGTTCCAACTACAAATAAGCTTGTTCCATAAGTCTGAAGACAGGTCATTGATCCCACATAAATGGAAACACAGAGTCAAAATGGCGCAGAAGGAGACGATTTGGCCCAAGAAGTCCATACTGGCTGTCTGTAGAGCACCCTAGTCCCCCACTTTTTCTCTGCTTTTCTCTATCACAAATACCAGGCAATGACCACCTCCAATAAGAGACAATTTAACCATCATCTCCTGACATTCAATGGCATTACCATCACCGAATTCCCCACCATCAATATCCTGGGGGTTACCATTGACCAAAAGCTCAACTGAACCTGCCATATAAATACAATGGCTACAAGTGCAAATCAGAGGCTAGGAATATCTCCCCTGGGCCTATCCACCATCTAAAAGGCACAAGTCAGGAGTGCGATGGAATACTCCTCACTTGCCTGGATAGGGACAGCTCCAACAACACTCAACAAGCCTGACACCATCCAGCTCAAAGTAGCCCACTTGTTTGGCAGCACATCTGCTCCCTCCCCGCCGATGCTCAGTGGCAGCAGTAATGTACTGTCTACAACATGCACCGCAGAAATTCACCAAAGATCCTTACAGCACTTTCCAAACCCATGACCACTTGCATCATTGGCAGCAGATACATGGGAACGCCACCACCTGCAAGTTTATTCTAAGCCATTCAAGGTCCTGACTTGTAAATATATTACTGTTCCTTCCCTGTCACTGGATCAAAATCCTGAATTCTCTTCTGAACGGCATTGTGGGTGTACCTACAGCACGTGGACTATAGCGGTTCAAGAAGGCAGCTCAACACCAGCTTGTCAAGGGCAACTAGGGACAAGCAATAAATCTTGGCCTAGCCTGCGACACACATGTCCCACAAGTGAATAAAAGAAATTTCCTGTGCTTCTGCAAGATTATCTCCCTCTAGTGCCTATCCAGTTTTCTTTTGAAATTATTATTTGCCTTTGTTTCTGCCACTCTTGTGAGCAACAAGCCCTAGGTCATAGGTACTCACTGCTCAGTTTTTCCTTACATTCCTGTGTATTGCCTGTTTTAAAAAAAAAAGTTGCATCTCAATCAAAAAGACATTACTATTGCTCAATGCAGAAGCTTTAAAAGTCTGTGCAAAGTGACTCAAAGATGATTTCCATCTGCAGGGATGACTTCATCCATTGAGGTTGTGTGGGACAGGGTGAATATGACTGAAACATTTTGGATTTCTGCACCTAACTGTTTGTGTGCAGATGCCCAGAATCACAATCAGTTTCAGAAAGTACTGACATTGAATTTGCCATCATTACAACAGCTAAATCCAAGGTCATTGTAGGCTTTTAATTTGGTGCTTAATTTATAAGTTCTTATTATTTAGAGCTCAGAAATGAAGTTTCTTATCCTGAGATTTAAGAGTATTGACAAAATAAGATGAGAGGCCAACTTTACAAAGAGGACTCTGTTTTCTAGAATGTATCATTTTTGAATGTACAAACAGTCTCTAGATTGTGAACGGGTTCCATTCTGGAGTCCATTTGCAAATCAGTTTGTACGCAAGTTGGAAAACAATGCAGGACAATATAAAGGAGTCATACGTAAGTACAGGAAATGTTCTTATGTTGGGTCATTAAAATTACGCCCCATATAAGAAAGAGTTTGTAAGTAAGCATTTGTAATTTGGACATTCGTAAATCAGGGACCCCCTGTAAAATCACATCAGAATTAATTATCAACTGGATAAATAGAAAAACTGTGTATTTAGATGTGTCTGAAAGTTTATTTTTAAAAAATTCTTTAACACTTTTTTTCTAGTCAACCTGTTCAACGATGTTACTAAACACATCTGGAGCAGATGGAGGTTGAACCTCTCCCCCACCCTGCCAACCCCTGGTCCAAGGTGTGGACACTCCCACTGTGCCACAGGAGGGTCCTTTTGTTATAGTTTTCAGTAAGCACAATAATGTGGATGAGCTGATTCTCTTTTTTAAGTGAGATACAATTGTGATTAAGTTGCTTTTTAGGAATATGAATAATCTATGCAAAATGTTAGTTTTTTGAGTTAACAGTTAAATGCTAGCAAATCTTCTATGTTATTTCTTATGGTGTGTTAGATGGTACACTGTTTCGGCATTCCCATGAATAAATATCTTTCTCTTAAAATGTGTCACCATGTACTTGACTTGGAAAGAAAGGCAAGTGCAGTAATTTCTCACTTATAGTTCCCATAGGAACCAGTGTTAAAACTGTTAGGTTCAGTGAGGCGTTCCTTATCAAAAAAAATTAAAACATTATGCCCTTGAATTTAAAATGTTTTGCATCATTAAATTCTGACATTAGTAAATGAAATGGAAAGAACAGTGTAACTTGCTACTTGCCGCGCCACCACCTCGCGAACAGTCTTGCTTCCCAAGCTATCTATGCCCTGATCCTGCTGGTTACTGCAGACCCTTCCTTCTCGTCGACACTCTGAATTGTGGCCTCTCCTCACTAATTGCCCCTCAAGTTCTGAATGTTTACCTCTTCTCAACCCACGCTCTCACTACTGCTTTCTCATGAACGTGTGGTTCCATTCAGGATTAAGGTTCAATTCGATCCTCTTCAAGCTTGAGCTCCAGTGCTATGGAGGTGCCAGTCCTGATGGTTCAGAAGCACTAGGGCTTTTACAGCCTTTTCATTTTCTAATGCTCCTGCTGATTTCTCTTCTAACCTGAACCCTTGCTGTGAGCAAAGACTTGGGGGAAAAAGCAGTGAAGCAGAGCAACTTTGAAAGTCATTTAAATCATACAGTGATTCTAAATGCCTCAGCACTTCCTAACTATCAGAACATGTGCTTTGACAATATACGAGCTCCAGCTCTGGATCTTGAACAGGAACACATATCCAGGAGAGGGAAGCAGCAAGAGGTGGGTAACGGAGTGGAGAAGAGTTCGCAGTTTGAGCATTGGGGAGCAAAGGAGGTACAGGTTAGGTTGACAGGGTACAACTTCAAAAATAATTTTGTGGCACTCAATGGGAATATAGGCCTCATTAAAATACTGATGTTAAAGTGAAACTTCATTAAACAGGACAACTTTAAACAAGACTTACTGTAAATTTAAAAACATACTCTCACATTATAGAGGTTTAAAAGGACCACTCATTTATTGAGTTTATTATTTAGATAATGTATAGTATAATCAGAAGGATTCTAAAATCTGTGTTGCTTTGTACAGTATGAGTGCTGAAAGCCCCAAACAGAAAGGAAAGAGAGGTATATATAATAGATGGAGGGAAGTTGTTCAGGGAATTAGGAATTGGAGGAGAGACTGGTGTTCAAGGGCAATGGGGAGCACAAAATTGATTCAATAGGTTCAACCACTAGGGGTGGGCAATGGGTAGATCCAAATCCAACATAGATGAGAGCTGGATCAGAGAGCCTCACTCTGACAGCCAGAAGTTTACATTAGACTTTCCATTATAAATGTCAAGTACAGATTTGGGCAAAGGCATTACTGAAGACGTAGGGGTAATATGAGGTGAAGCTATGTCGATTCATAGAATCCCTACAGTGTGGAAACAGGCCCTTTGGCCCAACAAATCCACACAGACCCACAGAGCATCCCACCCAGACCCATCCCCCTATAAAGCACCTAATCTGCACACCCCAGAACACTACGGGCAATTTAGTATGGCCAATCCACCTAGCCTGCACATCTTTGGACTGTGGGAGGAAACCGGAGCACCCGGAGGAAACCCACGCAGACCTGGGGAGAACATGCAAACTCCACACAGACAGTTGCCCAAGGGTGGGATTGAACCCGGGCGCCTGGCACTGTGTGGCAGCAGTGCTAACCACTGAGCCACCATGCCACCCAAGGGGAAAAAGTCCCAGCCTTTCTGTGCAAAGTTTTCATTATGATGTAGATGCGGAGACAGATTGTTAATTATTTCCTCCTTGTTTGCAGAACCTTGTGAAGTGGCCTCTAATGTTGCACAATCACAGTAGTGTGCTGTTGGTGAAGGAACGCCAAGTGTTGGTTATAGGAGGAGGAGGGAATTGTTTCTCGTTTGGAACTCACCTGAATCACCAACCAGTTCTACTGCAGCTACCCGAGATCAGATGAACCTACGCATTTAGAGACACAAAAGACAGCCAGAGTACAATCAGAGAAGCTTCATTTGTGAAATATGATCTCCTTCACTGATTTCTGATGCCAAGAACCCTTCAGCTGCTCTGTTGAATTTGCTGAAAGTTTTATGTAAAATATTGTGAGCTTAAACACCTGTGATCTTTACAAACATGATTGGTCGTTATCAGCAAAATGTATATTGTTCCAATTTTGGCATTGTTTTTGTATATTCTTTTCCATTTTAAATAATCAATGCAAATTTTAAATATAAAAAATAGTTTTTGGTTAGCACAAAAAATGGTGCAAATTATGATTAGCAAGTGAATTTCCCCATAATTTGATTAATTACCCCCAGGAGAACTAACTGTGATCTGAACACTCACTCTGCTGATATAAGGATGATGAAAGAATGCATCAATAGTTGCCTCAGTTTGCAGGTAATTTAAAAGTATCTTTTGCCTGGTAACTTCAGCAGGCAAAAAGGCAGGAGGATTCAGGATTGTGGGAATCAAATTTATTTGAAAACTATGCAAAAAATAATTTCTTTTATGTTTTGTAGTCATTTCCCTATTCTAAGAAATGTTTCTGAACAAAATTGAACCTTTTCGGTTTCATCTGAGTGTAACAAATGAATGAGCTCAGTACACCCATGAAGGGCATAGTTGCACATTGCAAGCCAAGGTATTTAGTAGATAGAACGTCTTTTTGAATCTCATTGCACAATTAGACTCAGTAAATCAAGCTAACTCTTTCTTTTATACATGAAATAAATCAGTATTATCTAAGAAAGCATTAGTCTTGGAGACTATACAGCACAATCGGGGTTACTGTTCCTTTGCTATTCATCACAGTGCAAGTAAAAATATACCTTTGGGAAAAAATCTCACCGTATGAATTTTATCTTTCTGACCTCTACCTCAAAGTCAGGTGGAAATCCTGATTAGTCTGCAGATACACTAACATTAAAAAAAGTAGTTATATTTAAAATATTTTCATAGCTGAAGTGAACGTTTTACACCCTTAGATGGTGGTCTCAAGGGTTGGTCACTGGCACAAGCATAGTGGTACCTTGAGTTCATGAAAATGTGTGAAAGAATGTAATATATGAATTATAGTGCTTCTCAAGTTAACTGTAGTGCATCTATTTCCGGAAAGTGTACCTTTTAAAATCCAAATATTCTTATAGGAATTATTATTTTGTACTCCTCCGTAATGTTTGTACTTACCCATGATTGTTGATTCCTAGTTTGTTCTAAAATGTTGGCCAATTTGTAAATATTATGTGCACTGTATCGGGGGCAGTTTCATATCAAAGCAAGATATTAAATTCATTATCTTAGACATTTTTGTGGACATCTAATAAATAATTGCATGTTTTCTGATAATAATAGAGATAAATTGACATTTTAAAGGACAGGTTTTGACACTAACAGCTAGTGATAAGATTCACAGAGCATTCTTCTGTGCTCCAATGGAACGTGTTGACTTGCAAAGATCTGCGTAATTGGGGATATGTTGAAGAAGCCTCATGGCAACACCCTCGCTGCAGACATAGGCACTGTTTGACTACAGCACCTTTCAAGAAAGGGGTCAGAAGGATGTTTGCAGGATCGGAGCTGAGAACTGCTGCACCGACCGTCACCTAATCCAGTCTGCTGTCTCCATCAGCCTTGTCTAAAAACGGCAACAAAAGGCCCACTTCAGGAAATTCAATGTCAGTGGACCGAAGGAACTTTCTGAAGACTCACGCAATCAGTGACTCTCAGAATCCTGATGGCACTCAATGAATAGTAACCATAAAATGCTCAGAGAACCTGGCTTGACTGTAAGTTCATCATAATACAGCAACTTACCAACAGCTATGACTGACATGGATTCTTTAACACAGTTGAGACGATCTACAGCTCCAGAACTGCTGAACTACCCAGTGAGAGCTAAGAATGGAGTAACACTCATCACAGACAAAAAGGTAGTGTGCACTCAGTGGAAGGAGCACTTCAAGAATCTCCTCAACCAAGGCTTGGTCTTCAATATTAGTGCCATCAACCACATCCTGCAGCAAGCTATCTGTCACCATCATGGTACAGCCCAACACACTTTGAGGTTAAAAAGACGATCTGACAGCTAGGATCCAAGGCCACCAACACAGAAGGAGTTCCTGCTGAAATGCAACTCGTACATGACATCATCTCCCTAATCTGTAGATTGATAGTATGGCGGCAGATCTCAAGTATCATAATTATAACCATCTTTAAGAAAGGAGATGAGACTGATTGCAGTATCCACAGAGGAGTATTACTGCTATCCATTGCAAATGATGTTTATGCATTAATCCTTCTCAATTGCCTTCTCCGACTGACTGAAGAACTCCTACCAGAGTATCAATGCAGATTCCACTCCATCCCACCAAGGGGCATAGTGGACATGATCTTCATTGCAAGACTTTTTGTTTTAGAAAAGTGCACCTCCTTTGACCTCTCAAGCTTTTGACTCTCATCTGAAAGGGACTATGGAGTATCCTGTTCAAATTTGGCTGCCTGCAGAAACTAATCACAATCCCTTGCCTGCTACACCTCCAGACTGTAATAAGACAATATCCTCTCTCTCATTGCAGAGAAATAGCAAAGAATTGGAAGATAGGCAAGCAGAGAGTGAGAGCAGCTAGCTATGAGCTGCTGCTTCTGACTTGTGAAAGACTGAACGATTAATGTGCTAACTACCTTGTGTCTGCAGCGTAGAATTGAAAGGACTTGAAAAGTAGATGATGACTGGAGAGCAGAAGCATTCTGAAGAGGCAAAGGAACACCTCAATGCATCCAGTGAACCAGTGCTA